TTAACAACTCAAAAAAATTTAAGAATTCTAAATTCAATGAATAATCACATGAAATTTAATTTATTCAAAGAAATAAATTTAATATTATAATTCATGATTCTACTTTAATAGTTTTAGAAAATAATATTAAATTGAATTGATTGAATTTTAAAATTACAATTAAACTTGAATTGATTGAATTTTAAAATCTACTTAAAATTTTAAATATTAATAGTTATTTTCATTGTAATTTCTAATATGTAAATTTTAGGAAATTATTTCTTTCCTATTGAAAGTCATCATCTATTATTTTGTTGTCATTTATACTATTTTCATTAAAAAATTTGACCATGTGTAATATATTTGTTTATGTAACTACACTAATTATAGACGCTTTTTTAATCAGGTTTATTATTTATTTATGTAATTAATCTATTTTAAACACTTTTTTAATTAGATTTATTTTTATTCGTCGTAAAATGACAAATGTGTTTTCCCCTTATGAAAAAAATTCTAGCTCCATCACTGTACGTCGGATAATTATTAGACGACTCTAAGCAATTTTTGAAATCACCCTCTATCTTTACGGCAAAATAAGGGGCATAATGATTACAAAAAATACAAGTTAAGATATATAATAGGTCTTTATAAGATTAAGGGTGGCAAAATGTTAAAGTAAGAAAGTTTAAGAAGATTCCACCAAATTTAAAATCTCCCATGTGTTTCCATATATTATTTTAAAATGACCAAAAAGAAAAGGGTTATGGTCTAAGTCCACTTTGTTGGATACTTGAATTGGCAACGAAGATGAATATATTAGAAAGATTATTTAATTTGTGACGTAGCATGACATATTATGCAGTGATGCAGTCTTCTTTTGGTTTATTGTTTCCATTGCAATGTTCTATAATTTGTTTTTCAGAAATAATAATTATTAACTATTACTTCACCAGATGAAGTGCTGTATTTTTTCTCACTTTCCGAAAAATAATTTGCATAAAAAATAATTTTTCAATTTTTCAATATTTTTTAGAAAAAAACAAAGACCAAGGGTCGTTTGGTTTAATTATTCTTACTCTTTTGGTTTAATTGTTCTTACATGGTTGACAGTGATTTATGATAGATCGGTAGATGGTAATTGGAAACAGTTAGTTAACGAATATTAGTATTTGATAAAGTTTTGGTAGCACTTAAAATGTAGAATGATCATTAAGAATATAATTATTTTCTATGCATTATAATTTATAATGTTTATATTTTTTATTTTTAAAGTTAATATTTTTTATTTTATTGTATTATATAAATAAAAATATTAATTAAATCTTTCAAAATAATATTTTAAAAAATTATAAATAAAATCATAAAAATATTGATTTGAGAATTTTATTAATAGTTATTTTTGTCAAGTTAATGGAATCCAAATAAAATAATATTTAAATGAGCTAGCAACTCATGTGAAAAAAAATTCAAAAATAAAATTAACAATTATTTGAAGCTTCTATTAGCTATCAGCTGCTAATTAAAAAAGTTACTAAATATTTACAAATTATGCATAAATGAACTAAATCAAACGTTCTCTAAAAGTATAAAATATTTATCTCTTCCATTTATTTTATTGTATAGAAATTAAGTTTCTTTGGATTCTCTTTTAATCTTTTAATACATTGAATCAGATGTCATTATTTATTTTAATAATTTTTACACGTAAGCCTAAAAATGACAATGAGGGATACAAACGACAAGGACAATGAGAGATACAAATGTTATTTGTCATTTATGACCGTGGGGTCCAGAAGAAGCCCTACTTCACTGTTCCATGATATATACTTTTTTTTTTTTTCCACTTCATCTTCTTCTCTAAATTAGCCGCCAATTCACCCTTCTCTTCTTTGTTCATTTTATCTTCCTTCTCATCTACCGTAAATAAATAAAAATAGGATTGATAGTTTTTTTTTTTTTTTTTTATTATTTTTTTTTTTTTTTTTTTATTAATTAGTATTCTGTCCATTAAGATATGACTAAATCATGCTCCCACTAAAAAGTAAAGCGCTTTCGACCTCATTTAAGAAAAAAAATGAAATGTTGTTGCTAATTACATTTTATTGACTTTGAGAGTTTGAATATAGGGATATGATTAGTAATTTAGGTTTCTAAAGATTTAGCTTTGAGGAGGAACAACAATAAATTAAAAAAAAAAAGAATTTTTTTAAAATAGAAATTCCAAGTCAACAAAATAATGAAGACTGTTAACTTTTTTTTTTTTCCAAGTCATTGTGTATGTCTGTCACTTTCCAGCTCAAATCTAAAGGTTATAACTCTAAACATAATTTGTTTAGAAAATTTTCCATTAAGAAAAGAATAATTATTTTATGATATATTATAACTCAATATCATTGATATTTTTTCCCATTACTTAAGACAATTGCATAATGGAAATAACAAAACAAAATTGAAAAAAAAATGCATAATGATCAAGTTATGTAATTTTTAATTAAGAAAAGTAATTTTGCCCTTTGTATCAAGTAATTTACTTGCTTGAAAGTTTGTGTAATCCAGTCGAGAAATTACATAATCAAAAGATAAATTACACAAGGAAAATATTTGCAATTACATAAACAAACATGCTATTTCTCATTTTAATTGGCAAACAACGAGATATATATATATATATTTGAAAGTTTGTGGCCTAAAACCTCCAGATACGGCTAGAAAGTGTACAAGGCTCCACTATCTAGAAGTATTTATGAGATAACACATAGGAGGAGATCAACCATTTCAGTTGACACAAAATATTAGCGAATCGGAGGTAAGCTAAGACATGTCTCACGTAAGCCTCAGCACCACCACACTAGGATCAACAAACCATAGAAAAACTGAAGCCATACTAGGTGAATTTAAATATCCAATAATATATTTCACAGGAAAAGGTAATTAGCCTTAAGATAATAGCTACGTAGCTATAGATAAACAATAATAGATAGATGAAAGTATTTTAAGTCTGGCTCACTAGATTGAGAAGCTGAGCTTGAAGTCCACCATATATATGCAAGCATCTCACTGACTGCAGTCGAGTCCAGCAAGCCGACTATATGCGGTAAATTTCTGAATCGAACCCCTTGAAATTCCTTATGGAGAGGGCCGATTTCTTCTTGACAGTAAAGATGGCTAAGTGGGTGTAGGTGTTCCGCACCTAATATTACAAATTTGTACAACGGAAAGGGCAGTGAAAGGCGGAGCCTTTGGCTGATCAATTAGCAGAATTTACCGGTCGAAGACCAAATGTCCGGAGGTAGAATTTCCTGATGAAGACGTTGAGCTGGGAAAAGCGAGTCCTGGGAAATGTACTTCGATGGAGCTTCAAAACTAACCATGGAAATGGGGTTGGAGGTCGTATCCAAAACTCCTTGTGGAGAAAACGTCCCCCAATCGCAGTCAATTAGATTTCAACTGCACCAACAAATGAAGCCGAGTAGAAGCTTTGCATAAAGGGGTTAGAAGCAGCCTAGAAAGGAAATAAAGGTCCTCAAAGGTTTTCGGGGATTCCAATTTAATAGTCTCCCCAGCTTTGAGAAAATGGAAAATTAAGGAAGAGCGTTTGGTTGCGTTAACTTACAACCGCTTGGACGAATTGGCTCAAGCAATTTGAGGATTTAATCCTTCCACTACTGCCGCGAGCCAATAAAAATCAGTTTGCTGATGCTTTGGCTACTTGGCCTCCAATTGGTTAATGTAGGGGGAGACAAGTCATCGACCTCTGACAAGTTCGGCTACAGAAACATAGAGCCAGCACATATCAATGAATTTGTGGATGACAAGCCCCTGGTATTGGATATACACAGAAATTATCTTCAATGAAGCCTACCCGGAGGGATCCACCAAAGACTAACCAAAAAAGGACATTGGAGACAGTTAACATCCGGATATTTCCTTAACTGGGGAGTTCTGTAATAAAAGAAGTTGGGAATGGCCTTGCACCTAAGTGTTGAATGAGGGAGAAGCTCAAACCATCACGGATTCCTTACATAAGGGGAGTCTGTCACAACATGCATGGGATAGGCCTTGGCTCGAAAAATAAAGTGAAAACCTGGGTTTTACTGGTCAACCAATGTGAATAGCAGATTGCGTGAGGCACGGCGCAAGAAGTGCCAATGAGTGGTCAAATTTTGCTAAGCGCAAAGATGGCCCTCCGGTCAATTGAAATACTAATTGCTTCACCAATGGCCTTGTCGCAACTTGGGCATAGAACTTGATCGGAAAATCACCAAAAGGCTTCAATGGTCCACCATATCCTGGTCGCTGTTGATTATTTTCACCCTAAGTGGATTGAGGCCAGCCTCCTATTCGGGTCTTGAATGCCAAGAAGGCAGCACAGTTCGTTCGTACTCAACATCCTTTGTCAATAGCGCCCAGGAACGCCATTCCGGATCAATTACTGATAACGGGTCCAACTTTCATGAATTTCTGAACCTGTTGAAGCAAAAGAAAAGAATTCAACGACTCTCCACAGAGTCTTTTCACCTTATTCGGCCACACAATGGGCTGTAGAGGCTGCAAATAGGCATAAAAGTCATTTGCAGAAAACAGTTAAAAGCACAAAAGCTTGGCAGAAACAGTTACTGATGCCCTAATGGGATATAGGACTCTTTCAATCAGACGCCCACCGGAGCAACCCGTATTTCCTTAGTGTAATGGGTTGGAAGCAGTTGCCTAATTTGAGCTGGAAGTTTCAGTCGCGAGGATTATCTTAGGCGCAAGAGAGAAGTGGGATGGGATGGAACATCGCCAACCTTATACTTCGCCTATCCAGCCCTTTTGTAATTGGTTTATATAATCCAGCTTTTGTATTGGTTTCTCCTCTAGTAAGATCTAATTAGTAATTACGATTCATAGTCTGGATCTCTTCAAATCCTTGATTTTGATAATCCTCTATCATCTTAATTTTGATGCAACATAATAGTTCCTTCATGGATCTCAAACTCTCCATCACCTTGAATTTAACCATGATCACCGGATTTTGATGCTTATGATGAAGAATCATCATGTGATAACATTAATATATATAGTTTTTGCTTCGTTACACATAAACATATGTATATTGTGTCCGTTCGCTGTAACTCTCTCTCTCTCTCTCTCTCTCTCTCTCTATATATATATATATATATAGCAAAAACTAAACTAATTTCCTGAAAGTTCTTTCATCACCTGGTAGAACAAATCTACACTATCATCATAACTTGTGAAAGATGGAGAGGTAAATCCTCCATCTAACACTGATAATATGTAACCATCTTGATCAGCCACAAAGGGTTGGGTCCAAAAATCTCCACTTGTATCTTCGAATGTTTCAAAAGAATAAGAGACTCTATCTTCCACATTACAACTTGTAGCAGATGCAGTAACCAAACAAGAATCTGCGGAGCTCAAGTGAGAAACTTCACTTGAAGATGGCTCCGCCGATAAAGGGTAACTTTCTAATATTGGGTGAGAATATGGGGTTTTTGCAATATAACTCTCTATTTTCAGATTCCTAGTTTGGCTAACTTCGCATAAAGTTTCAGTTGAACACTGCTCTTTCATGCCATTTGAACTTTCACTTTTCTTCGCTCGCCTCTTTAGATGGGAGTGCCAGTAGTTCTTGATCTCATTATCCGTTCTTCCTGGTAATTTTGCTGCAATCTTTGACCATCTGCAAATATGGAAAATTTCATGTGAGATTAACTACTGCAAAACTAAAGAAAGTGGGATTTTATTCTTACTAGTAATAATCCATTCTAATTTTGAAATTGATTGTTCTAATTTGATTATCAAATCTAACTTCTGGTTAGATTGCACCATTCAAGCTGATATTAGAATCATTTAAAAAACTGTGAAATTCGGAGTTTTGAATGGTAGCTGAAACTGATTATATAATAAAAAGGAAAAGGGAATAACTTCCATACTTATTTCCAAATTGTTCATGCAATCTGATGATCAAATCTTCTTCCTCCTTAGAGTAGTTTCCATGCTTTACTCCAGGCCGAAGGTAGTTAATCCATCGGAGTCTGCAACTCTTTCCACATCTTGATAGTCCTGTTAATTTGTTGAACCCAAAATCAGAAGAACTCTTTTATACCTATATGATTTATGAATGATATACATACATATATATACCTGCAAACTTGGGAAGTTCACGCCAATTCCAATGGCCATATCTCTGTACATAAGCTCTCAACTTATCGTCTTCTTCTTGACTCCATGCTCCTTTCTTGAGTCCATTTTTGTCAAAGAAAGGGGCTCTCACCATTTCTTGTGGCTTATCCTTTCCTCAGCTTTAGGTGGTCAAGAGAGGGATCAATCGATAGTAAGCTCAAATGAACACTTGACATATATCTGATCTCTTATATACATTCCAACAGAAGTATGAAAACAAAACGTGTTTAAACTTTGCTAAGAGCTACTGTTGACCTTCGAGGATGGATCCTTCTTTAATTTTATGTGTTCTTAATTAAGGAAGAGGGCCCATTAGAAGGTACGATGAAAATGGCTTGTCGCGATTTTAATATTGCCGTTGCAGACCCAACAAGGAGAGTTCCTAAAGGCTAAAGGCGTCAGTTCAATTGTTTTTTTTTTTTTTTTTTTTTAAAAAAAAATCAGTCAATTGTTTTATTTATTTTTTTTTTTTTTCTTAAAAAAAACAAGAAAGAAAAAGAAGGAATTTTTTTTTTTTTTTTTTTTTTAAAAAAAAAGAAAGAAAAAGAAGGATAATTATTGGTGATAGGAAATGGATTTTAAGTCTATAAATTTCCTTTTTCTTTTGGAGTCTGGCTGTCCAAAGTCCAAAGGAGTACTGTTTTTTTGTTGGAGAGATGTTTTTTTTTCTTTATTTTTTTTGAGTTTCTTTGTTTTGTTACTTTTATAATTAGGATTCTAGTTTTTAGAATATATACCTAACTAAATTTAATTGAAATTTTTTTTTTTTAACTCTGGAGCGTACTAGAGATTAAATTTATATTCTTATTCTTATAATAATTTAGGTTGCATATATCATTCCAATCAAGAAGTTATTATGAAATTACAATAATTGATAGCAAATAAAAATATATTTATCTTTTTACTGAAATAATAATAAAAAGTGAATTTTTTTTTTAAATAGTAAGTACCAATTGTTTGCATGACACCAGGCAAGTGTTTTCCCCTGTTTTAGAAGTTTAATTGAGATTACTTTAAATAAAAGAATAAAAAGGGCGATAGAAAATGACTTTTGACTTTGAAAGACATGCATTGAATAATTCAAACTATTGATTCTCTTCTAAAATATAAATCGTTTTTAAATTATTATTTTATCTCAAAATTATAAGTCATTTTGAGTATTTTAAAAAGTAATAAATTATATTTTTCCAATATTACTCTTGTTTACATTAGATACAACATTTACAAGTTACTCTTGATTTTGAGATAAAGGGATCGAATTATCCTTGGCTTTATTATAATTTAGAAGAATTAATTACTTCTTTAATCTCATGCAAATACTTTAAACGAATTATATTTGGGGACAAATGGAGTATTAAAAAGAAAAACTACAGTTTGATCCCTGTGGTTTATGAAATACAATTAATCCGTCCCTGTGTTTTTTAAAATAGATTAAAATATCCTTATATTTTACTTCCGTCAGACAATAAAGTCATTCCATCCAATTTTTGCATATTTTTTTTAAGTACCTTATGAAATGACAAAATAACCCATTTTATTTTTAAAAACACAGAGACGGACTAGTTGTATTTTTCAAATTATAAGGACCGTACTGTAATTTTTTTAGTATAATATTTAAGTATCTCTCTTTTAATCTCTGTGTTTTCTTGTTAACTTAACAGAAAAGATGCAAAAAGTGGATAGAAGGACCTAATAATATAAGGGAAGAAAAAATAGGGACAAATTGATATATTTTAAAAAAATAGGGACGAACTAGTTGTATTTCGAAAACTACAAGGATCGTACTATAATTTTTTCTACTAAAAATATGCACTCCCTCCGTTCTATTTATATAGAGAAAGTCAAAATTTCTCTAGGATTAAAGAGGTTGTCTGTTTGTGGATTTCTGTGAAATTTATCCCCGAAAAGGCATTAAAGTAGTCTCCAAATTTCAATAAAATGTAGTAAATAATGAGAGAGAGAAAGTGTTACTTAAATAAAGAGTTTTATTTGCTTAGATTTTCAATAACAAAAAAAAAAAAAAAGTGGGCTATTTTATGGCAACTGCCCAATAAAATTTTAATCTCAAATTTGGATTGAAAAAATTGATGCGAAATTTGAAAGAAACTTTAGAGCCAAAATTTTCGTACCTCAAATTTTTTATTTTGCTTGTTCAAATTTGCACATAAAAAATGAAGTTTTGAGCCAAAATTTTCAACTCATTTAAATAGGAATGAATTCACAACTCTAAAATTTAATCCACAAATGTCATGGACACGATCCTTCCTTTTCATTTGAATACAGACCCTAAAGACACACTTTGCAACTTCAGAAACTGAAGATATGAAAAATACAGTTTGTATGTTGTTGCATTCTGAAACTGAAAAGGGTGAGTCAAATGCTCACAATATTCACAAAGTTGCATACAGTTTATCCATATTCACTAAAGCAGTTTATTAGGTTTGTCATAATGCAAAAAATAGTAATGGAGCTGAAACTGGAATGAAAGGTCCGTGGAACAGGGGAAAGAAATGAGTAGAGATACCTCCAAAAAGGATAAAGTCAATTCCTCTTAGAAGATAAACAACAATTCAATTGTTGTCACATGAACTTAGGCATTCTTTATCTTGTGTGCACAGATTGATTAAAGTTGTGAGTGAATCTCACTATATGTGCACACTTAATTATTAAGCACAAGCTTCTTAGTCAAATTTAATCTGTGTGCATAATGTGCTTGAAGTTCACATTTTCTTAATACATGATTTAGTCAGTTTTAGAACATTAAATACCCAACCACAATAATGTTTGTCACTTTCTTGAAATACTCCCAAAGTCAATGTTTAATCTATAAATCAAAACAAGGGCATATTGAACTTTTTACTTTGGCATTAGTCCCAAAGTTACTATTTTTAGAAAAAATTGCTCTATATAAATAGAATATCAAAAAAGAAAATTTTCTCTATATAAATAGATTAGTCCCCAAAGTTACTAATTTTTTAGAAAAAATTGCCTCTAATATAAAATAGGAAATATCAAGAAAATTTTCTCTATATAAATAGAAACAAAGTCAATGTTTAATCTATAAATCAAAACAAGGGCATATTGAACTTTTTACTTTGGCATTAGTCCCAAAGTTACTATTTTTAGAAAAAATTGCTCTATATAAATAGAATATCAAAAAAGAAAATTTTCTCTATATAAATAGAACGGAAGGAGTAGTTTATACTCCATCTCTAACTCCAATTGAGAGGCATACTTTATATTTCACAATTAAAAAATAGTTATTTTAGTTAGAAATGTAAATTTGCATGTATCTTTCCTATTATACTGTCACAACCCATCTCCTTGGGCCAGACCAGCACTAGGGCTCGGGAAAGCGTAAAACATCGGAAGCCTGTAGTAAGTCTTTCCTATCCATAATCACTTCTAAACCCAATATTATCGTATCTACTTTATTCAATATTATAGTCTCTGTTCTCTTAATTTTGATATTTTTTAGCTTTCTACAAGAATTAAAAAAATGATTGAACCATCTCAATCCTAGAAAAAGCAAAGATAGTTAACTAAATTATCTTTTACTTGAGTCCTTGTAATTAAAATTGATAAAGTTTAGTGGAGATATGGAAAAGAGTAAAGTTGAAATACAATAATTAGTAGTATTTTAATTTTCTAAAGTGTCATAATAAAAAAAAAAACGTCAAAATGTATCAAAATTAATGGAAAATATATTTATTATTTTATTAATTAAAGATATTAAAGCAAAATATCATTAGAGATATTAACGGTGGTATTAATTTTCACACAATGTCATCTAGTGGTGCAATACAGTTTAATATAAAACACATGAAAAACAAACTATTTCTAACCTTAAAGCATGAAATCATATTCATCAAAAATATTTTCACATAACTATGCTTTCAAACATCATAACATTTTACATTCCATTATGGCACACATTATAACTTTTTTCATTCTCAAATCACCCATTCGCATTTAACGATAGAGGAGCCCATCCCTCTGTCGAGGCACGAGGAATCCATCCGCCACTACGGACCGAGGAGCCCATCCTCCAAATACAAGCCAAGGAGCCGATCCCCCATACAGCTAAGATATCATTGTTCATATAGTGTTTGTCATCATATTTTCACATTTCTTTCTTTCACTTTTCTTTATTTTTGAAGACAAGAAGAAATTTCCACAAATTAGTTTCCGACATCTCATCCACAATACACATTATTCAATCATACAATCACTATTAAGTCAAGTAAAATCTTAACAAGGCACAACAAATGCATTACCAAACATTAACAACAGAATCTCGAGTTGGCAAGGAGCTGCAAGAAGTATCTGTTTAAATATCAAAATATTTCCATAATAATGAATGTAGATTTAATTTCACATTTAACCCAATCAAAACAAGTAAATCATAAATAAGGATCACCATTATTAGTATAAAGTAATAGCTAATATAAAATAGCACTTTGCTTAAATAATAAATACATTATTTACAAGTAAATTAATTATAAATATCTAATACCGTTAGGATAATGAAATCAATTATGGAAACACAAGTAGAATGCATGTTTTTGGTATAAATAATACTTAATACTACTCACAATAGTATGGAAAAGTAACAACTCTAGATCACATAGCAGCTGAAGAGTCTGAGCAACCTAGACAAATATTTAAATCAAGAATAAACCTCCATTAATATTGAGATAAATTGGTAATTATTTTCATACTATCCCAACTCAATTCGCAGAGGTTTTGTCAAAAATCCGACAGAGTCTCCCTAAAAATTGAATGTTACCACCTGTTTATAAACAAAAATTCCACAAACAACTCTCATAGCTCATCCATTGGGCAATTCTCATCTCATCAATAATATACCCTATCTGCCATTACCATGAATCGTTCATTCTAACATTATATGTTTACACAACAAAAATGAAAATTATATAAATAATTCCATTTCTAACTTTTCATTAATATGCATCTAGCTAAAGTTAATATTTAACTAACTACTTGATACTTAACTCACATATATAGCTAAGTGAATTTGAGCATCCATAAGAAAGCTAAAACTTCCTCCAAAATTAAATTCATACTAACAATCAATGTCATCTACTTTCAAAAGAATGTTTATTTCATTTTATAATGAGTCAAGCCCTTCTAAATCATAATATTTCATGTTG